GTTCAGCAGACTCAACAGTTTTGCAACCGTTTTATGATTGTCTGCTGAGATAGGACCATTCTTCTAGATCTAAAAGTATGATCCAATCAGCTCGAAAGAAACTTCCAACAGTTGCAAAACGAACGTTCTGCTGAACGCAGCATTGTAATTGCACTCACATAACCTATTGTCTTAATACTACTATAAAAGTCTTCTATTTGGATGTACTTCTATTAAATAAATAATAAATAAATACATAAAAAAGAAGATGTAGCGTGAATAAGTAAAATTTACACTTGTGCATATGTATAACTTAATATTTTTTTTTACTAAAAAAATATATTTAATTAGACCCTCTAATATAATGTTTTTTACTGTTCGTGAGAAAAGTTCGCTATGAAAATAATAAATTTGGATGTTTTCTTGTGGCGGGTCAAACGAGTCAGCAAAATTGTAGTTAGTAATGCTACATATTTTAACATGTCATCAACTACTTTACCTTATAATGTTTGTAATGACTATAGTACAAACATTGCAAAAGATTTGACTTTCAGCAATCAGCAATCCTTGTTAAATAATGTTATAGTTAAACATAGTTCAGAAACACGGAATTTTCTGTATATGCCTCAACCTCGAATTGTTTCTCATATAATGTTGTATACTGAAAGAAAATACATTGGATATAAATCATATTGCGGTAGTCAGTATTATAATGTTAGATATCTTTCAAATGCTGGTATTGATTTTGTTACTGAAGTTAAAGTTCCAATGCAGTTTAATGGCATATTCAAAGCAATATCTGAAAGTGCACCTATTAAAATCACACAAGATTTCTTACTCTTGATGCATGATTGTACAGGCTTACCATGGTGGTTAGTCATTGTACTTACCACCATTGTGATGAGAACAGCAGTAACATTACCGTTATCCTTGTATCAGGTATGTTCGTAAACATTATATCTATAAATTATAAAAATATATTTATTTAACAAGCAAAATTATAAGACATATATATATATATATATAATAATTATTTCTTTTCCTGTATGATTTGTTATACACTGCTCAATAAAAAAAATAGGAAACACTTTCAAAACGCACAAACTTAATATAATTTTCATATCACTGAAACTTGGTGAAAAATTATTGCAGACAAAAAAATAAAAGAACATTTTGAAGCTTGAAACTCTTTTGCATGCTTCTGGCTGTTTTTAAAAAAATTGTTATCTTTACAGTTTTATAGTTCAACAAAGATCACATTGTTATATTTCTCAAAATTGTATATCTCATATTGCATCAACATATGTTTTTGTTAGCATGTCAGCTATTTTATAAATATAATGTCTTCACTGTATATAATTCGACATACTGATCATTGCAATATGTTGATGTAGCATGTGGTATATTCAATAGTTTCTAGCTTGATAAAAATTTTTTTCTAAAAAATGGAATAATTTTGCAAAAATTAAAAAGAAGTTTTATAAAAAGTCATCAAAATATTTTTTACTTTCTCAATTCTATAGAATGGAATTAAAAAATAAAATTCATCAAAGTATACTAAATGTATACAAAGTATAATATATTTAAAATTATATTAAAAATTAATTTTAAATATATTTTTTAGTTTATTATTTATTTTTATTTTAAAGCCTAATGCAGTTTTTAGTGATTTTTATTATATTTTTAGCTATATATATTAGCAAAATTGGAAAATCTCAAATATGAAATGGATGAGGCAGTTAAAGAGATGAAGAAAGAGATAAATTATGGTATACATAAATATAATTGGTCTAAAAAATATGCCAAACGTTTATACAATCACTCTGTAGGTAATGTTTTATTTTGTTTACTTTAAGCTTCTAAGTTAATGAGTTAATAAAGGCAATCAAATTTGATTAGAATATTTTATCTTTAAATATTTGCCATTTTTATTGCAGCTAAACAATGGAATAAATTGATTGTTCGAGAAAATTGCCATCCAGCTAAAACTAGTCTATTAGTACTGGTGCAAATACCTTTGTGGATATCATTATCAATGTCTATTAGAAATTTATGTTATATGCTACCTAAACAGGATGCTAGTGTGTATGAATGACAATAAAATAATGATTTAAATAAAATAAGAATTAGTACATATCTAACATATTTGGTTTGTTAGATGCTTACATTACTTATCAGGAATTTATAACTGATGGATTTCTTTGGATGTCTAACTTAACTGCAGCAGATCCGTTTGTACTTCCCATATCAATGGGATTATTTAATTTAGCCATTATAGAAGTAAATTTTTAATATAATTTCTGATTGGTTTATAATATTATAAACGAATTTGAAAAATTAATTATGTCCTGAGTTTTCATATCACTTTAATTTTAAATTTTACAGATAAATTGTATGAGTAGGATAGTAGAGTCGACAAAATGGCAGAAATACTTGACCAATTTCTGCAGAATTGCTACAATTGGAATGATTCCTATTGCTATGTCTGTACCATCGGTAAGTCAAAAAATTTATTTACAAGGATATAATTTAATTATACAAAGAATATAATCTGAAATATATTTTTTAGTGTTTGAGCTTGTACTGGGCAACTAGTAGTGCAATTGGTCTCTTTCAAAATCTAATTTTGTTGTCTCCAAAATTACGTCGTTTTGCAAAAGTGCCTATAACTAAATCTGAATCACCACATCCATACTTGGTATTGCGTAATAAGATAGCAGTTAAATATCGTTTTGAAAAAAAAATGGAAATTCCACCGAAGATGTAAACATGTTTTAAGAGTTAATCATTTACACAAATAAATTATATGCATATAGGTTTTATAAAATGTTTTTCGTAATTTATAAACTTATATTTTTGATATATATTTTGAATTCTCATAAGATTTTGTAAGTAATATAAAGAGTGTCCCATTTTAAATAATGCAGTAAGATTTCTCGAAAACTATGGTAGATACGAAAAAATGTTTCAAACAAAAGTTGTATGGTTCGCAGGGGGACCTAAGAAGGTATCATTGATTTGACCTTGGCTGGCGTCGCCAAGATCAGGTCAGATATATCATGCACACTGCTATTGGTGGAAGAATAAGATAGCCTATACTCCTTTCTCGCTTGGAGAAATTTGACGAAATCTTTATGACCAGTCTCTGATTAAAAAGTCTCTACTTGATACGGGTACTAACTAGTAACTTTCTATTGAATTATCTTAATTTCAGCGAAATGTGTAAACATATACATGATATGTGTATTTAATTAATCATTTTGATGCATATTGTACCAATTTAGTACATTATTCTTTAAATACATTGCTGAAATTGAAATAATTTAATAGAAAGTTAATATGCATATCAAGTGCTCGGTGTAAGGGTGAAATCACACGGTGCGGAAAAAGACTGCGGAATAGAGAATGCGTCATTGAAACAACCAATCAGCGCTATTCAGCACTATTCGGAATAGCGCTGATTGGTTGCTTCAATGACGCATTCTCTATTCCACAGTCTTTTTCCGCACCGTGTGATTTCATCCTAAAAGGGATTTGTTAAATTAGTGCGCCGTGTATTAATTATAATAATTTGTGTATTTCGCGTTGAGGCGATTCCTTAATAATGATAATAACAAAGTGCCTTAAGTTTTTACTGGACACACGATAATCGCAGAAATCTTCTTTTGACCGCATTTCCATCCAGACACAGAGTTTTGGTACCTAAAATTCCCTTTCCTTGTAAAAACGGAAATTGTAGGAAACTAGGACACTAAATCTCTATAAATACATACATTCGGGAAAAAACACTTGTCTCAACTTGTCCTAAATCCGTTCGTGTGCATTGGGGCACATGAATCCAACTATTCCGACCGCCATCTTACCGGTGATTCAAGTGCTCTCTGAGTTAATTTGGAGCAAGCGAACAAACCTCGAGAAGTGTTCCGAACCCATCGGCCGTCAAACTCAGCTATTGGCTTCTATTGGTCGCGTTCAGCAGACTCAACTGTTGTAGAGCGGATCCGTGAGCGTTCACCGATCATGATCCGAGTCTGCTGAACGGGTCTGATCATTATTGTCACGTGACCATATAACGATTATAACCTTATTTCAAGCAGCTATGGCACCAAATAGTGTAAGTGTCTGCGTTCCTCACTGCTAGGTATACCATGCATTTGCTACATTATAAAATCAAGTGAACTAGATTTAGTTTAAAAACAAACATTAAACAAATAATTTTAAATTAGTATCCATTTGTATGTCTGTTGATTTAATCAACTGCTTATCCTTCTCTACTTCCCAGAAATAGAGAAAGATAAACAGTTGATTAAATGGCGATTAACATCAATTAACATTGGTAGAAGTGAACATGTTTCTTGTAATTATTAACAATTTTCATTGTATCCAAACATTTTGTTTTATTGTGTTTTTTATATATTTTAGTTACTATATATTATTAAATAAGGATAATATACATGCAATATGGAGAATTTAGATATTGTTGCGTTACTTGAAGATGACGGTCATAATGACCGAATAAACGTATTGCACCTTATGCTTAATGAATTAGTCGAACCGTTACCAGAACTGGATGAACTAGAAGTGAGGCAACGTGATGAAAGACCTAGAAATCGTAATTATTACGAAATTATTGTTCCTCAATACGACGTTGTTTTATTTAAGGAGCATTTTAGAATGTCTCGTGCAACATTTGAAGTAAGTATAATAAATTTTATAAAACTACAAGTATGTTTTAAAGATTAATTTCGGTATTCAAATCAATTGTAGAAATTTTTGTAGGTGCTAGTTGATATAATTGGAAATTCCATACATGGGAATCCAAATTACCTTGTGGATTTGAGAAAAAAAGTTATGTTTTCATTGTGGATTTTATCTAAACCGGAAAGTTTCCTTGCTGCTGGAGATCGCTTTGATTTACCCAAGAGTACTGCTCACTACGTATTCAAAGAAGTTATCACCATTATAGCTAACCTCTTACCGAATTATATTACATGGCCTGATAGACGATATCATAATGTTGAAGAGATTTTTCGAAGACGTTCTCGGGGATTTCCCGGTGTTATTGGGGCGATTGATGGTTGCCATATTCCAATAAAAGCTCCTGTAGGCAACTCTATAGATTTTTATAATAGAAATAAGATACACTCGATTATATTACAAGGTGTATGCGATCACAAGGCACGTTTTATAGACGTTTTCATCGGAATGCCTGGACGAATGCATGACGCTCGAGTATTTAGGCAGAGCGAGTTGTTTGCACGATTGAATAATGCTGAAAATCCTTTGCTACCCTTTAATATGCATCTTATAGGGGATTCTGCCTATCCTTTAATGCCAAATCTTATGACACCGTTTCGTGATAATGGTCACCTAACGAGAGCGCAAAGTAATTATAATATTAAATTAAGTATGATCAGAGCTATTATCGAAAGAGCATTCGGTCTTTTGAAAAATAAATTCCGAAGATTAAAATATTTAGATATTTCCGACCCAGCTTTGGGAAATACTATCATAGCAGCAGCGTGCGTCTTGCATAATTTTTTAATTGATCGAGATGAAATTAATTTCGAATATGAAGCACCAATCGAAGCAATGGCAATACCGAACGATGATATAGATATACTAAATGATAATATTCCTGCGGTAACAAAAAGAAATGAAATAGTTCATTTATTACAATAAGAAAAAAAAATTTATTTGAAAATATATTTTGTATGTTCACATATTAACTCAATTTATTTTATTACAATACTGTATATTATATTAAGAATTCATTTGACGCAAAACTAATGGGCGTTTTCAGGCAAGATAATACGGTATATTAAGTAACAGCAAAGAAAATTGTTTATTGAAAAAACTAAATGTATCTTTTGAATGTTAATTCTAACAAGAACTATATTGAAAATATAAACTTGTAGCATTTATGTATTCTTTTTTCCTTCATCATGTTGATTGCTCCTCAAAAGTAAGAATTGTTCTATCAACTTGTTTCTCTCTTCTTGGATTTGATTACTTCGATCTATGGACGACTTGAGTTGTAACATGGTGTCGAGGCGTTTTTCTTCGATGGAAATTTGTTTTTGTCGTAGTTTATGTAGCGTACTCATTCGAGCTTTTCTCAACGGTTCAGATATTTGCGTTACACTAGCACAAGGACTTGCAGAGGAACTTCTTGTCGAGGGGCAGCTAAGTGGACTTTGATCAATTAGCTGAAAAGGTGATATTGACGAAGTAGCAGATGTGTTCAAACTATTACAAATATTAGAGAAATCTGAAACTTGTGTTAAGGTGATTACTTCATTATCATCTTGAGAAGATTCATTTGCGGTTATTTCATTATTTCCTTGCATCGAAGAAAGTGTTGAACTGTAGTTTATTGTCATGTCATTGGCAAATATGTCTTCAAAAGTATCGAAGTACTCCCATGAAATTCGTCCTCGGCCAGTGCTAGTTTTTTTATTATTATTATCCTTTATATTCTTATAAGATTTTTTCATGTTACGCATCTTTCTATCAAGGAGATCTTCATTTAAGTCACTATAACCATTTTCCTTCATAATTAGAAGAATTTCGGTCCACAAAACCTTTTTTTTAACTTTAGGATCGCGAAAACGATCTTTACGTTCCAAATAACTGTTCAAAAGCAATTTTGTTGATCGCTGAGTCCACGAAAAATTCTTTATTTCAGATCCTATAAGTATACCAAAAATATGTTATATATTTATTACTCTTCTAATAATAAATTGATTAGATAAAAATTTATATACCAGTATTTGTATTGTTAGTAGTATCATCTACAATAGAATTCAAAATTGGAGCAGTTGTGTTATCGTCCAAATATTGCGACAAAAAACCCGCATCTAAAAGGTAATTATTGAATTGTTAAATCGTTGACACACAGTAACAGTATTGAAGTAAAATAAATCTTAAATCAATTTGCGCAGAGAAAATTCCAATTGTAAACAAAAATGATTACATATAATTAAAATATAGACGTTCTTCATAAAATAATGGGTAAAAAGATAGAAAGTACTAAGTTATAAATGATAAAATAATTGAAAAATAAGTAATATGTTATACACTTACCAGACTGTAACCTTGAGTGAACCTCATGGGTGTCAGTAATAGAATATTCTGCATTATTGATGATATAATTAATACTGTATGTCTCAGTGTTAGGATTCTCATTTTCCATGATTCGTAATCAGTCATTTAATCAACTGTTTATCTTTCTCTATTTCTGGGAAGTAGAGAAGGATAAGCAGTTGATTAAATCAACAGACATACAAATGGATACTAATTAAAAATAATTTGCCTAATGTTTGTTTTTAAACTGAATCTAGTTCACTTGATTTTAAATTGTAGCAAGTACATGGCATACCTAGCAGCGACGAACGCAGATACTTAGAACGATTTGGTGATATAGCTGCTTTCTTAGGCACAAATGTCTATCATATATCACACATCCAAGTTTTTATATACAAAACTATTGTAGAGGATGTAATATCTCACAAAGAAATTGGAGGAACGACAAACAAACTGGAGAAAACTAAATCTGAAAATGTAATTAAAAGTTGTCGAATACAAAACTATAATTGTTAATAATTACAAGACGCAAACTATGTCGAATTTCTAGTTCAAGTTTCTACCAAGTTTCTAACTTCTAACCTCGAATTCGTGTTTATACCTTACACATGTGTGCCGCCATATTGTTTTACAACATGTTGAGCTGAAGTAGCGGAGAAAAAGTTTGATGCAAAAAATGGCGTCCGCTCACTAAACATGTTGAGTATCGGTTACTGAGCGGAGTGCGTTCAGCAGACTTTTATGCAACAGTTGTACAACAGTTGAGTCTGCTGAACGCGACCATTGATTATGAGTTATGACAGCCGACGGGTTCGGAGTGGGGATGTGCAAAGATAGCGAGATAGAGAATATCGGATCTCTCACTTCCACAGTGCACTCGAGTGTGATGCGCATATGCTGTATGTACACAGTGAGTACACTACCTAAGGCCGGTATTCATAGTCGGTTCTTATTTCAAGACCGTCTTAAGTAATGTTTTAAAACGCTAATGCGGCTTTCTGATTGGTTCATGATACCTCAAGGCTGAACTTAAGACAGTCTTAAATTTAAGATCTGACTATGGCCGGTATTCATAGTCGGTTCTTATTTCAAGGCCGTCTTAAGTAATGTCTTAAGGTGCCAATACGGCCCTCTGATTGGTTCAAGACAGAACTTAAGACGATCTTGAATATAAGAACTGACTATGAATATCGCCCTATGAATACCGGCCTAAGTGAGAGGTAGATATTCGTCTGCACCGTGGTGTTTTCGTCAGCTTTTAATTGGCGTTATGGCGCAGTCCCATGGTGCGGAACGTATACGCAATGCGGAATTGGCGGAACGATGTCCGTCCAATTGCAAGCATTCCGTCAATTGCGCTCCGCCAATATGTCTTTTTTAAACCAATCACGAACGTTCCGCCAATTCCTCATTGCGCCAATTCCGCATCATGGGACCGCATCATTAGCGTTTCTTTGATAAATGCATATATGTAATACTCCTATATTAAGTTCAAGACACAATGGGCGCGTTCAAGTTGACAAAGCGGCTAGCCTGCTCACCGAGCAAATGAACGTAATTGGTTATTACTTATAGATCCAACCAATCATATTCAATCGCTCGATAAGCATGCCTAGCCGCTTTGCAGTCTTGAACTCGCCCA